AGGCGCTGCCACTTGCTCGCGGCCAGGTAAAAGGGGGCCTAGCCGGGCCGGGGCAGGGGGTCCTGCACCTGCGCCTGGGCCGGGTGACCCCGGAGCTTCCCTTCCAACCCACCGGCGTGGGGTGGGCGGGTGCTGCGCGCCTTGGCGGCAGGTGGGCCAGGCCGCTGCGTGCGCGCGTCTGTTGCGGGGGCGTCTTTGCCCCTGGGTGGAGGAGAGGCCTGCGCGCCTGTAGGGAGCCCTGCGCCTGCTGAAGTTGCCCGCCTCAGGCCCTGCCCTACTCTGAGCGCGTTTCGTCCGGGTTGGGGAGGGGAAGGAGTGGCAGGTGGGGGCGGGAAGGGGTGTGTGTGTGTGTGTAGGTGGGTAGGGCCTCTGTGATGTGTGCTCCCGTGCATGGGGAGGCAGAGGTGGGAGGTGGGGAAGGCCTTTGCCTGAGTCCCCCTCCCTCCCTCCCTCCCTGTGAGCATGCATCTGGTCAGCCCATGGGGAGTGTTGCTGTGGGTGCTGGGTGGCCAGCAGGCAGAGGCCTGGTGCATGTGTTTCTGTGGACTGCTGTATCCCCTTGAGGTTCCTTCCAGCTGTGTTTCTCTATGGTTTCTGTGATGCTGGTGGGTGGAGGGGGGAAGGGACTGGCTGGCAGGGTCCGAACGTGCATATGAGGGTGGGTGCACGTTGGCTGGAGGAGGGAGAGATAAGGTGACAAGTGGGCCAGGCCTCTGTGTTGGTCGGGTAAGGCATTGGCAGATGTTAAAATGCAAGAAGCAGGAGGACAGGGCCTGGGAACATGTGTGTTGGCCAGTAGAGCTGGGGGTAGAGGTGGCTTCTGTGTGTATCAGGTAAGGTATGTTGACAGGTGGGAAGGTACATGTATGTACATGCATTATTATTTGCAGGTGGGCAGCTGAAGGGACAGATGGACAGGGCCTGCGTGCTCACTTGTGCTTATTGACAGGTGGAGGAAGGGGGATGGTTTGTAGGCAAGGTCTGGATATGTGTGTGCTGGTGGGACTGTCAGAGGAGGGGATTTGATAGTTTTGTGTGTACTGGAAGGTCCAAGAGCAATGGGTAGGCTTGGGTCTGTGTGTGTTGTAAATAGGAGACATGGGGGGGCAAATGAGACAGGTGTGTCTGCATTTGTGTGTATAAAGAAAGGAGGGGTGATTGATGATGGTTACCAGACAGAGCTTTTGTATCTGTGTGTAGTGGAAGAAGGGGGACTAGCAGGTACACAAAGTCTCTGTGTCTATTGGTAGCGGGCAGAGATGGTAGATAAGTAAGGTCTCTCTATTTTGGGAGGGAGAGCAGGTGGGCAAGAACTCTACCACAAGTGGGGCATAGAGGTGACAAATGGACAAAGCCTTAGTGTGTATTTATATAATTAAAGGCAAAGACCTTGAGGTGTGTGTGTGTATTGGAAATAATGAAGGGACAGCTGGACAAGGCTCTTCATATGTATTGGGTGGGCAAAGAAGATCTTTGTGTGTGTATTGGTAGATGGAGAAAAAAGGTGATGTGTGAGGGAAGGGTCTGTGTAAGAAGGTGGTGGGAGCAGGCCTGCATGTGTATTTCGAAAAGAAGATGCAGGTGGGTTTGCATGTATATTACCAGTGATGGGGTAGACAAAGCTGTGTCTTCATTGTGATGCTATTGGCTGTGCATATGTGACACAGTTCTTAGTGAAGTAGGTCTTTGTGTATTTTCAGGTGGTAGCAGGCAGATGGGGGTGGGCTGTAGGTTTCTTCATAGCGCAAGATGGCAGGCATGTGGTAAAAGTGGTGTGTGTGGCTTTACCCATGGGAGACAAGTGAGTCTGTGCATATATATTTTTTGGTAGAGTAGTAGATAGGAGCATGGATTCATTGGGGAGGACAGATGGTGGTTGGGCAGACTTCAAATGTATTGTGGAAAGGGAAGTGGCAAGCTGGTTGGCTTGCCTGTCTATATACTGGGATGGGGACGGGAAGTAGTGGGAAGGGCCAGAAGGTATGGTGGGGATTATAGATGGATAGGAGGCCATGAACTTGTTGTGTTGGGTGCTTGGTATGGGGTAGGTGGGCTAGATGCGTGTTGTAGGGAGGCTGGAGGGAGTGGTTTCTGTGTCCTTTGCATATATTATGGGATATGATTGAGACACAGGAGCATGCATTTTCTGACTGGTGGGTGGAGGTGGGGGGGAAGTGGCTGGTAGCCGAGGTCCCTGTTACGCACCTGAGGGGAGCCCGAGTTTGTATTTTGAGGAGAGTGGGTGGCCAGACAGGCAAGCATGCCTGGAACTTTTTTGGGGTCAGGGAAGTGGAAGCTATGCCTTTGCATATACAAGGAAGTATGGTGGCAGTTTGAAGAGCTGTGTTGGGGAGAAGTGGTGGGCCAGTGGACTTTGTGGAAGGGAAGAGAGCTGGCTAGGTGTTGGGTCCATAGCTATATTTATAGCAGTAGGGGGAAAGGTGGCTTGTAGACTGGTGGTAGGTGACTGGAAGGAAAGTATGGGCTGGTGGCCATGTATGTTGGGTAGAGAGAGTGCGCTTGTAGCAATACTGAGGTGGAGAAATAGGAATCTGTGGGTATGCTGGAGTGTGGGAAAGTTGCAGACTGTTGGGTAGGCTTGTGTATCTTATGTGAATTGTGCAGAGCAACAGGTTACAGCCTGGCAGGGATCCTAGCCCTTATGCTCTGAGACAGTTTAGGGCAAAGTCTGCAGGAACCTGCAAATTGGCAGGTTCCTATAATGAGAGGAGTGAGGGAGCAGCTGCATTGGGGACAAGAGAAACGGGGACCGGTGTCTTTGTTGTATTTGATGAAATGGTAAGTTTTTTATTTGGGGACGACATGCAAGGAGTCTTTGGGTGTACATATTTTGGAGAGACAGAGGGGAAATTAGGAGTAATGTGTGGTGAAGGTGTGGCAAAAATGAGGAAATTGGTAAGGTCTGTGAACAGCGTGTACAGCAGTGGGGGCCATCCTTTTCAGCAGTTGTGCCACAAATTTAGCCTTGCACTTCAGTCCTTTTCCCTTACCTGATCTGCTCTGTTTTTTGCTTGTCCTGTGCTTCCCTGCATGATTTGCTGCTCTGCTTTCTGCTTCCTGCCCTGCCACTATGCTGTCTGTCCCCTCCCAGAACTGATATGTGCCTCATATAGAGGCTGTCCATGCTACTTGTGACACCTATGGTGCCTTGGCCACACCAGTGTAGGGACTGGCTTGGAAAACCTTTTTGTTCTGATGGTAGAATGGGGCATAGGGCAATTGGTAAATTATGTTGAGGAGGAATGCAATTAGATGGGAGAAAATGTTTGGTGTGATTTCTCTTTAGTCTGGGGTAAGAGAAGAACCTGCTCTGGAGATTTGAAGAGAGAATAAATATGAGAAACTGAGAGGGTTTATGTGTAGATTAAAAAAGGGGAGAAGGGTATGAGGAACTTTTAGAGGTATGTGTTGTGAAGAGTGGGAAGCTGTGTGTGGGGTGAGAAGGGGTGAAAGAGTAGAAGTTTCGAGGCTATGTTTGTATTGGGATGGGGAAATGCTAGGAGGGTGAATGTCTGTGTGGTGAAAGGGAACCTGGGAAGCCTGCACAGGGTGCTATTGGGGAAGGAGAGCTCTGGTCTTTATAGATAAGGAGTGTTTTTTTTGCAGGAGGAGTGGCAGGGGAGAGTGAAGAAGGGAGACTCTTAGGGGCAAGAGTCAGGAGTTCTGTGCATGTTATGAATAGGGATCAGGGGTGTGCCCAGGAGGTTATATTAGGTGGGCTGCGAGGCTTCTATGACCTTAACTGCACTAAAGAGAATACTATGTTTTAACTTGTGATAGCCAATATAAGGTCAAGTCTTAGTGAAGGCAAGTCAGCTTATAGCCTTTACATGGTAGCAAGTCAAAGTAGATTAAAAAAAAACCCCTATGATTAATTGCCAGTTAAATCTAGCTAGTTAAACAAATATATTTATGAACACTAGTTTGGACACAAGGTGTCAAATACCTCTAGTTGGTGATAATTAACTTGAAGTCTAGCATAGATAACCTTAGTATATGTGTGTTATGAGAGCAGGAGCTAGGCTGCCTCTACATGTACATTGTGTACAAGTGACAGTTCACATATTTTGGAGTGGGTGTAGGCCAGAACCTTGAGGATGCTTGTTTATTTCTTATGGGATGGAGGTGGGGAAAGTGTTCATGTCCAGGTGTTAGGGCAGGGGTGGGCAAAATGCGGCCCTCCAGGCCATTCTGTCTAGCCCACAGAGCCCTTAAAAACATTTAGAAAATGAATATTTATCTGCTCTGGCTGCCTGTCATGCAGGCCTTGATGGCTTGCCAAAACTCAGTAAAAGGCCCTCCACCTGAAATAATTGCCCACCCCTGTGTCAGGGAATGGGAGTTGTGTGCAGTGTGGCAGCGGATGCATTGGGGAGGGTGGTGTAGTTTAGGTCTGTTTGTTGAGGAGA